CTAACGTGATTAGTATATGAATTACAAAAATGTGTGTGCATTTAGCTGCTCTGTGACGAAATGAACTGTACCGCGACGGTTACTAAGACGGATATGAATGTGTCAACAAATAGAGCGAGTTTTTTAATTTATCGATTTATCAATCGCATTGTGCGCAAATGTAATGTTGTTCAGTAAAAGCTGCATTTGCGCATAATGCGATTGATAAAGCTATTCATCAATCGATGAATTAAAAAACTCGCCAATATATTATTTAATGACGAGAGGTTTTGCATAGAAATCTCAAATTTTTATGGATAGGATAATTTTACTAGACTATTAAAATAATTATGTAAGACCAAATTAGTTATTAAAATGTCCAAACTTGTTATACGCCATTGCTCATAATACTTAACATTTCTATTTTATTTTAGTGAGTCAACAAAATTATTGTTAGATCTGTATCTGTCTAAATTTTTAGATATTTTAGCAAAATTATTCTTTCCAAATTAATATATTTGTGAAATATAATAATTTAGCGGACGATATGTCGGTTTAATGATTAAATGCAAGAAAAAGTATTATGAACAATTAGCGATTTATATTAAAAGTGTTGCATATATTTATAGAAATGTAACGGAAATTTTGATAAATATTGTAGTTTCAATTGAATTTTTCAGACATCTCGTATAAAGTTATAAATTTTCTTGAATTGTCATTTTGAATAATTGTTAATTAATTTTTTTAAATAGGGAATATGAAGTACCGAAGTGCGTTTTATTTTATTATTAGACTTCAACTATAGGCGTTCGATAATATGCGATTCTTACATACTAAAAAATGCACTGGCATCGGAATATTATAAGAAAAACTGTCAGATTCGTATTATGTCGGTCAAAGGTTCGAATGATTAATGAGCAGTTAATTACCGTACTGAAATATGTATGACAAACGCTAAACTTTTGCGAGATTCGACAGTTTTGAGAATCGTGAAGCTAACCGAGAGGCATTAATTATATGACTCGTAAAACTTTCTCGATTTTTCATTCGCGACAAGCTTAAAGTTAATTCGAGGTAAATTCGATTCTCATTCGTTGACAAGTTTAGCACGAACAAGAAAACATTGATTATGAAATTCGTCTGCAAAGTTTGTTATTTTACGTTCATAGAGACTCTTCACGACTGAAGTAATTACCGTATGCATTATTGGGAACATATCGCGTTAGTGTATTCATTTGTGAATGCAAATATCATAAATATATGGAACTAAATTTTTGGCTGAAGCAATAATAAATGAATAATTGAACCAATAAGTGAATATCACAAATAAAAGAAAGAATTTTACATTCGATTGAAGCGGGGCTTGATGTTTAATAATATTCATATATAAATTTTCAATTACATTTTTCAGTTCTATAAACTGTATGCCGATTCGGTTTATTGAACTTAAAACTCAATCATAAAGTGCATAAATTGAAGTTATCTTAAATTATTATTTAACCATAAGTTACATTGATTGTCGATTTAACTTTAATCGGTTTTCGCAGATCTACTATACTTTAAATTAATATATTTTTTCTTAGACTTAACGTTATTGAACAATCTTTTTTGTTTTTATTTTTGAAGGTTAAAATCCGAGAAATGTAATTATATGATATATATGACTTAAAATTATATAAGATTATGAAAAACGTTTATTATAAACGATTTTGTATATAACCGAAGAAAATCCACAGGAATATACCAATTAGAGCTTGGATTAGAGTTAATAATAGTGCTAATAAACATCTTAGAACAAAAAGTTTTAGCAAAAAATATATAAATTTATTCAAAATTATCCGTAAAGTAAAAAACATTTTGTATTTGTATTAGAAACCACTGAAGTCCTTATTAAAATTCTGTATTGAATTTTTAATATATAAAGAAGTGTGTTACTTCTTTACATAATATAATATTTGTGTTACCTTCTAACTTCTATTCATTTTACGTTAAATTAACACAGAAATTTGCATGGACCGTTCGGGTGGCGTGTTAAATTTAACACAAATTTTCTAATTGCAAGATTTATGCGACGTAATATGAAAATTGCACTTATGCCACCTTGTGTAAACGCATATTGCATATATTGCACGTGCACGCCGGAACAGATTACACATATTACACGTGTATATCGAAGCGCATGTCATTCACATTAGACCTATGACAGAATTCATATCGCGTGCGCAAATGCTGATCTCATCGCGTCGCTAGAATGATTTCGTGAAACGTATAGACCCGTGGCGATCGAAACTGCGGCTCGTAACCCCAGAAGGCATTTTTCTTTTCTGGCTGCTTCCCCGCACATTATTGAATATCGCCTATTTGTCGAGCAACGTCTTCTTGCTCGTTCCGCCACACTTATCGCGTCACTGTTTCGCCGACTTTTCCGTCCTATTCTATCTCGGCCTCCCTCCGTCCGGGCCGAAGCGCGCTTGCCAGAAATATCAATTTGCGCGGGAGTGGTAACAGTTTGCTTGATTTGGCACGGCGTAGCTTACGTCCGAAATAAATCTTCGCGAGTGTAGTGTCGGTGCCCGCCCCGGAAACCGATTGTCTATGCGGATTTGACATGAGTAGCGCACTCATTCCAGCTTTGCGGACGATATCTCATTTTCGATTCGCATCTTATTTATCTCCCACTGATCGATACCTCGATTAAATAACAAACACGTTTAATGCGTTTTCTATGCGCTATAAAAAACTACTTAGTCCCATATTTGATCGGTCTCCTTAAACTTGCTGAGACCATAAGACGGGACTGTCATTATGCTAAGGCTGTGTTTATCCTTCGATGTAAAATTAAAAGCTGCTCATTGACAAGCGCGCGACAGTAGAAGTGCATAATAAATTAAAACGGCAAATACAGTAATTGTTATTGCGACAATGAGTGTTCTGTCGTGTGAAAGTAAACGTGTTTAGAAAACAATTCACGTCGTAGCGTGTGTCGATATTTTGGAATGTATTACAGCAATGTCGTTAGATATTTTGTTTCAGAAGAATTTCTTATACTGCCTTTCCAATACTTTTCATACTTTTTTTTATACGTGTATTTATTTAATTTAATTATCACATACAATTCTTCTTCTAGAATTACTAAAGTAAATTAATTTTTAAGTTTCATCGACGAGACATAGATATTGACATAGTGATAGTGAAAAATTAGAGAAATATAATTCTACACAAAATAATTACAAAGTGATATATCACCGGAAATAACGAGACATTTATAAATTGTTTACTTTTTGTCTTTTTTTTTAGATTTTATTGTAAAAAATAAGATATGGAATGCTCATTTCGATCTATAGTGTTATTGCACTTCGGAAATGCAAATCATTTGCAAAACGACATCGCTAAATTTTCATATATGAAATATTGGAGAAATACCGTTTTATTAACATAAGACAACTATATTTATGGAATATATTTTATGACAAATATAAAAAAAACAATACAAGTAAGTGAAGAAGGTCTTATTTGGTCAAAGTGAATCTTGAAGCTTAATTCTTTTAAATTTTGTAATTCTTAATTTTTTATACGAACTGCGTACCGATTATTTATTTGAAATGCAGTTATACACTGAAACTAAAATACGCAATATTACAAATTAAATTAACAAGCAATTTAATAATACTGATATTAATAAGCATCTTAAAACTATACAGAATTGATCTGAATATAATAATGTTGTTTTATGCAATCAATATTAAGTGAAATAAACCTGAAATGTGTACTTTAAACAAATAAAAATGTGTTTAAATAAATATAATAAAAGAGAAGATGTCACATTCGGCCAAAGCGGATCTTGATACTTAGGAATATTTATATGTGAATATACCTACAAATACAATTAGCAGTTCTATAGACTGCGCGAGAATTCAGTTTGTCGGACTTGGAACATAATCATGAACTGAAATAATAATTAAATTAATCGATTGTCGATTAATAATAATGCAACTATTATCTATAAAATCTTGTAAATAATTTATTACGAGAAATATCACCTCAGGGATTCGAATTTGGATTTCTCGAATTCGTCTTCCTAATTCAATTGAGAAATTTTATGATATTAATCGCAAAGCCAATAAATATGGAAGAATCTTTTTCAAGCGACACGAGATAAACAATATTATTTCATACAAATCGCACACAAAATGTACAATTAAATTAGATTGGATCGCTTCGTTTTTATAAAGCTTGTCAGACTACTCATTTGAAATTGAGAATTGTGAATTCAAGATTAAAATTTGACCAATCGGATAATTTCATTTTTTAATTGGTTTAATTTTAATTGATTGATTTCTAATCTACAATTTGTAATTCTCAATCTCCAATGCGTAGTCTGATAAGGGCTCAAGATTTATCAAACGAACAATCTCAGTCGATCATGGAGCAATTCACGATGCCCGCAGCCTTCCCCGAAATCATGGTCGTTACAAAAGCGACTGATGACGGCGGTTTTTCACGTGTAAGAAAAGCCGACGAGAGACCACACGCGGGAAAATAATAACAAGAGCAGTGCCTGCGGGGTTTGGTGGACCAGGCAGAGAGACGAAGGGAGATAGTGGTGGATGCATAATTGAATGAAAGCGTGGCGAACAGAGCCAAGGGGTAGTTCCTACGACTGGGAGGGGGTGGAATGCTATAATTTCAAGCCAGACAGTCATGCGTTATTCAGCGTTGAGGTACAAGCCCTCGTTCTCTCTTTCTCTCCTTCATCTTTACATTTTCTATATGATTCTCTGAAGGGGAGAAAGTACTTCCTCTTCTCTCCTTTTCATTTTGTTGCACTTCGAGATCTTTATTCTTTGCCTAATTCTTAATCGTTTGTTCGTTACCCATTAATGTTTCCGATTCGTAACTTGTGAAGTAAACCGAAGTGATGATGATCAATCATATAGTGATGTCAATTTATGTACGTCAAAGACAATTAAGTTCGCAAAATCCTTATATCATTCAAACTATTTTCTATTTATTTTATTCAGGATAGTGACAACACCTGGTGGGAGTCCTTCGCGGGCGAATTCTTCGAAGAAGACGCCACCCTCACCCTCCATGTCTGTTTAGAAGATGGACCGAAGAGATATTGTGAGTATTACCTATTATTTGATTCCATTTTATATCTTTCGTGCGCGAATTCGGAAAAAACGTTTAAAAATTTATTATATGTAATAAAAAATAGGCAGGACCCGACTATTATATTTTATTTCTTTCCAATATCACACACTGTACGGAATTTTATTTTTAACTAATAAGAAAGGAATTGGTTTCTTTCTGCTCGTAATCATATCTAACCCTAAAGAATCTGTGTTATACTATGAATAATGCACGGAAAGAACGTGACGTTTTTTTTTTGTTCAAGTATTTATAAATTTAATCTGCTAGTATTGATCTGAAAACAATTTTGTTAAACTATCAAGATAATTATATGAGACGCTCAAGCTTAGTGCTAAAATATCAAAATTTTTCAGCATTGCTCATTATGCTCGAGTTTTCTACGTAATTATTTTGATGATCCAACAAAATTACTTCCAGGTCTGTATCTAGTTAAATTTTTAGGGTTTTTTTTTAGCAGAATCGTTCTTCTGTGTGTGAATAATACAGTAGACGAGTGAGGTATCTTTATTTTCATGAAAGGGAAGGAAATTGCAAAAAGGAAAGGTTGAACTGCAAGCAAAATATGTTTTTTTTAGAAGCAAAATGATAAACTGTGGAGTTTCTATATCATGTGTATATATATATATATATATATATATGTGTGTGTATGTATACATGTTTATATTCATCTGCGTTTGATGCAGTCGATTTTCTTCAGATAATTTCCGCGAAATAATTCCTTATATCTTTGCGGTATCACGGTTCACACATTGTCACTGATACTTAATCGTCGCCAAGCTCGTGCGGTACCACACCTCTGTTCTAAATAATGACGTGCCACCGCGCGGCAATCTTGCAGTCGGTGGATTTTAATGTCTGTTCCGCACCACCGTCTCGAAAATATACGACGACAATGTGATTACATGTCGTGTGAATGCATGTCGTCGTCATCCGGGTATAAATGACAGGGCATCTGCGCGGTAAGATGCGTTAGAACTACCGAACGAGTTCGATGATGCAAAATGCGTTTTGCAATTAAGAGAAAAAAAAAAGATATTTTTCATTTGTGTGTTTGTCCGCTAATGTTACGTTTTGATTTATATTTACGTTGCTTCTTAATAAAATTTTACTTGGTCTCCGTGACGGTTTATTATAAAATTAAACACTTTTGAAAATTATTATAGACGCCACAGTTTGTTGTAGAATTAAACACTGAAATTTAAATGTGACAGTTTGCTTTATTTAGCTATTCGCGAAGATATCAATTTTGCAGAGGTGCATGTTTCGCGGTGAATATTGTGCCCAACATAGAGCAACATCGACCGATTTAAGATAGAGCTGTCGATCTTAATTGTCGTTTTGCTTTTCTCGCAACATGTTCGTTGTATTTGTTTCTGATGGTTTCCATCTTCATCCTTTCAGCGATAGGAAGGACGTTAATACCCAGGTACTTCCGTTCGATATTCGATGGTGGAGTGACGGAACTTTACTATACTTTGAGGAATCAGAAGGAATCGTTTCACAACACTAGCATAACGCTGGACTGTGATCAGTGCACAATGGTAACGCAGTATGGAAAGCCGATGTACACTAAGGTACGAACATTCTGTAGATTTTATTGCACTTACAGTAAAGAATTATACATTTCAGATTGTCCATGCATTTATGTTGAGTTAAACGAAAATAACTAGACTGATGGAAATATAAAAAAAAAAAATAGTCGTGACATAATATACAGATGACCAAAAAAATTTATACAAAGTATACTTTTAGTATATAGAGATTATGTCACTACAAAAACTGCTGAGTGTTGATATCTTGAATTGACACAATTAGAAAAGTCAATTGTCCTTTTCTTTAAAAAAAAAAAAAAAAAAAAAAAAAAAATAAAAAAAAAAAACAAAAAAAAAAAAAATACATATTTAATAAAGCCCGGGGAAAAAAAAAAAAAAAAAAAAAAAAAGAAGATATCATAAAGATAGGAAGGATTAAAGTTTAATTGGATCTCCGTAATTTCTGTAAAACTGTTTCCTAGTAGGAAGCTTAAGTCCCGCAAACTCTCTTCGACGAAATCAAGCGCCCTCGAAATAGTCGAAGCGAATATTGTCATCCAAAAACTTATTTTAGGTGTTAACGGAGGGTAGGTTAATATTGGAGTTCACCTTCGACGATCTCATGAGGATAAAGTCGTGGCATATGTCGGTGAGGACGCATCGGGAGCTGGTACCGAGGAGCGTTGTCAGTATGCAGCAGGATCCGACGATGCTTGAGCAGATTAGCAAAAACATCACCAGGCAGGGCATGTCCAACTTCACTCTCAACTACCTTAGAGTACGTATTTTCCGTATTACATGCTGTCTTAATTTTACGTTGATGCGTCAGTGTCACATTGACCACATTTTAATTGAATTGAAATTTTCTCGTTTTGTTAATCCGAGAATAATCACCTAATTTTTTTTTACCATCACCTATGGTCTTCACATTCCAAAAAAAAAAATCGTTAACAAAGCGATTGAGTTCAAAAGACAAAAATAAATAAAAGGTATAAACTATGTTTTTTTTTTAGTTTCGTACAAATGAATGCGAAAACTTCTAAAAAAACAGTCATTTAGACCACAAATTTGGAGTAAAACAAAAATAAATATGACATAATTACACACTCATTTAGTGATAAAGGTGTGCGAATCATTGTACGTGCCAAAACACGAGGAAGTGCTATTTTGTTGTATGTTGAGTTATAACGGAAAAAAATATCGATCGTGGACACGATAGTTAGAAAATTATTGCAGCAAGGTGTGTCGGTGCGGAGCTAGATCGGAACACGGCGTATTCCTGCCTTCTCGAAAGTATCTCCGGCTATCCGGGTTACGAACCACCTTCTTTCCGCGCTCGGAAGCGCTTTCACCGGGGGAAGGGGACGGCGTGCATTCCGCGTGTATCGTCTCGAGTCAGTTGAAAAGACCGTCGATTGTTACGTCGGGAAAGTCCTCGCCCATTGTTGAACTGGTACACTATGTTTGAAAACGCGTAGGAACCGTCTCGAATAATTTCTCCACACAGGTGAAGACGCCTCGACGACGAAAATGGGCTTCAGTTGATTTATAGATAGATGAATATATCGCGCAAAACTCCAGTCGTTCTTTAAAATGATAGTTATGTTATTCACCTTTTATACTTGCCACGTAACATGATGTAACAATATCATTCACATAAAAATGCGTAAAACGTAAATATAGTTCCCGGATTAAAAATACGTACAAAACGAATCGACAAAAATTGAAAACGTACATATTTTCTGTGAATTTTCAAAGAAGTTGTTTTGTTTAATTTGCATTAAATATGTCAGAATAGAAACATCTAGGAACCATCTAAATTTTTTGTTATATATTTGCTCGTACATTTACGTTTAATCCTCCGGAGCTGACCTGTCAGTCTGTTGAGAGAAAGAGATCCCACCCAATTATAAATCTCTGTTAAAAATGTCAAGCCATTCTGTATGTTATCTGCAAGTTTGCATTATTTTTGAAATAAACTTAGTTATTATAAAAAAGAAATTCATTTTTTTAATATTAGTTATATTATTTTGGTTCATCGAAATTAATTCCTTTTAATTAACATAAATTAAATAAAATATTAGCACTAAGACTCGTCTTGACTGAATATAGCTCTCTTTACTCATTTGTATTGAACATTTCTCGTCCATTTTTACTTATATTAAATGGATTTTACTGACACAGTAATTACAGACACACATCAACTCTAGAAAGTTAAAAAGAATTTTGAACGCTATTAAAATTAAACTTGTAACTTAACTTACTAACTTTTTGTCAAGATTGAACTATACGACAGATTTTTTTTTTTTTACAGTTATGCGTGATTTTGGAACCAATGCAAGAACTGATGTCGAGGCACAAGGCGTATGCGTTATCACCCCGCGATTGTCTGAAGACTACCTTGTTCCAGAAATGGCAGAGGATAGTTGCCCCGCCGGGTAAGAGAGGTAGACGAACAGTTGCTTTACATGAGAAGCACCAGCCAGTGAAGCCGAACGGCCATTCGATCCTAATAGACAACGTGAAATTGATTTTTGCTATCCGCGGAACGACGCACTGTTCGCTGTCGTTGATTTTTTTTACCGCTTTGTCGTGATTCTTGGTTCCACCGGTTTTTTCTTATTGAATGTGAAACTTGATGATTTTATTCAAAATCTTCTAGCAATTAGATGCATTTTTCTTATATTAATTTTTTCTATTCAGTCCTACGCTACTTGCTTCATTGATCAAACTTAATTCAACATTTGAATCATTTTATGAAGTTATTTAAGGCATTACTATGTCCAAAATTTCGATTTTCTTTTAATTTTAGAGATTACATTAACTGATAGCAATAATTCGCTTATTTCGTGATTATTTGCGAAACATGGCTTTTAGCATCAGCTTATCGCCCGCCTTTATCGTGCTTGTGCGTGCACCGCGTTTTCCATTTCACTTGCGATTTTGTACAGCTCAAATATATCTATCTGATGTTCATTTAAACTTGATAAAACTGTGGAACCAAGCGCATATAACACCAAATAATATGTTGCCAAACGTGTTTCTCTGTAAACATCGCTTGAGAGTGCAAAGTAGCTCGTGGGAGAAAGATAGAAATAAACTTGACACATATCTATGTGTTTGTTTGTCTATCAATGCATGCTTGTGCTTGTGCGTGTCAGAGACCTTTGATAATGAGAAAGGTCCACAGCTGGGTAGTGCTCTTAAGTTTATCAGTGTGTAGCTACACACGCGGCCGAACGTGGCCAACGAATACGCTCAGCGTTGTGCTCACGACAATTTCTTTCTTTTCTAGAGTCTCAGCGACCGGCCAGCAAAAGAAGAAAGCGGAAGGGCAGCACATCCGGACCAGGCAACAATGCACCTCCTGCGCCTAGCAAGAAACGATCACCAGGGCCAAATTTTTCTCTAGCATCGCAGGTAAATTTTTGGATTTGTTCTCTCAACGAAACAGCACATCGTCGGTCGTGCAACGTCGTCAAGAAACAGACGCTAACTAAATGTTTTTTTTGTTTACTTTATTGTAGGATGTGATGGTCGTGGGTGAACCTTCTTTAATGGGCGGTGAATTTGGGGACGAGGACGAGCGGTTAATTACAAGGTTGGAAAATACGCAGTACGATGGCACAAATAATCTAGATCCTCATAGTCATGATGCATCCGGTGGACCACCGCCACATCCTCATCAGTTCCACTCGGAACCAACACCGGGTAATTCCTGGCCGCCAGATCGTGGTCCTGGTCCACCACAGGGAGGTCCTGGCAATCAGGTAATCATTTTTCTACAGCAAAATAAAACTTTTCGATTAAAAAATGTGCCTACACGCGCATAATTTTTGAAGAGCTATAGATATGCAACAAGTTAAAAATTTTGTTAAATTAGTTGAACTAATTTATGAAAACAACTGATATCAGATATTGAAACAATTACTTGAGTTCTGAATTTGGAGATTGGTGTCATTATTCGGTTGATATCTCGGAAAAACCAATACTAAAGATGCTCGACTCAACAGAAGATTAAAGAAAAGAAAAATAAAGTTTAAAGAAAAGGTATTGACTTTAGAATACTATTCAGAGCGCGTCATGTATAAATAATGTGACTCTAATGTTATATCTCGCATGTGTGTGTGTATGTACTACTCCAGGGAGTCCAAGGTGGTCAAGCGGGCGCGGCTGCAGGTGTACAGGGAACGCAGGACGCCAGTCAACAGCAGCAAGACAAGAAGAGCCCCGCGGTGAGCCAGTGAGGCCAGGAGTCCCCGCGCCCCCCCACCAGGGGGCGACGGGGGCGCAGGCCCAAGAACGTGGCTCCCTAGCGGGGCGAGAATCCTAGCCTCCCCACTGCCGCCGCCTATTTGGCCTCCGCGGCCGGCTCTATGACTGGCAGGTTGTCGTCGCACGTCGGCATGCTTCCGACGCTGGCCTGCCAGCCCGGCTTGCCAGCAGCAGCACCACCGGGCCATCATCATCCGGAGCAGCATCCGCAGTTGGGTCACGTGGCCGCCGCCGCCGCCGCCGCCGCCGCTGCCGCCGCCTCGATGGGCATGGAGTCCTCGGAACTGATGGCGGTGGCTCATTACCAGGCGCAACAGCTGCAACGGCAGTTGTTGGCCGAGCAGTCAGGTCCAGGTACCACGATGCTGCCGCCTACGTCTGCTCAGCCTACTGGTGGAGGCTTGATGCAGTCGCAGGGACTCCAAGGGCAGCAGCCGGGCCAACTTCATCCAGGCCAGGACCCGTTACAGAGCTTAGTGCAGCAATTACTCTGTCTACAACAGATAGAGTATTTCCTCGCGCAGCGCGGTCACAAATGATTACACTTTAATATCATAACCATAATAGGGATTATTTCGTGCGGGAGAATGAAATGATCGGACCAGATAACAACGTTTGGGACTCGATGCGAGCAGAAAACGTGTTTGTGCCGGTGCAAAAGTGTTCTGATTCGCCGATAGGTAAATTTCGCGCTAAATCATTGTATGACCCGCTGACGTTGATAATGCTGCGATGCTGTCGAAAATGAAGACGAGGATGGATAATACATGGCGGCATCTGTTCGAGTTCGTATGGTTTTTCTAATTCTCGAACGGAGGGGAGGTAGCGCGGTGTCTACGAATTCACCACGACGATATGCGGGAAGATTGCGGACAAACTGAATGACGGAAGCGGCAGATAGGAAAGAAGAAGAACCAGCAGTTGTACCCGTTTATTCGTGGATCGCTCTATCGCTACAGGGCACCGTGCGGACGGACGGCTATCTCTGAAGTAGAGGAGATCAAGTGTTTTTAGCGTGTGATAAAAACTTTATGTCAAAAATTATGTTAATAATGAAAAGTAGAACGATGTGACTAAAGGGGAAGTAAAGAATCACTTACGGATGAAGAAGATGAAGAAGTGAGAAAAAAGAATGTTAATGCCACGCGCGTCAGAGACGATTGTCCGCTCTGGTGCGATCTGTGAATGAATCTCTATCCGTCAACAGTATTGATATAATTAATAAAGTAAATAAATATATATAAAATATTGTAAGAACTATATCGTAAGTACGTATTTGTGCAAACGTCAGTGTGCAAGTTAGATAGAATGAGTGGTGTGATAATAGTTCGGGGTATATGAGAAAGAGAGAAAACGAAAATGAATGTAGAGGATGTGAGTGAGTAAATGGAAACAGAGAAAGAATGAGGAAGAAAAAGCGATAGAGTCACCTTCGACTCAAAAGATTTTTAAGCGCGGGGACCGACCGAATGTCAATGCATTGCCTCGTTGATTGTCCCGAGGTCTCGTAGAATTTTATCCTTTATTACTACTATATATAATAATTATTTGACGAACCACGAAAAGCGTAAGAATATTTTGCACTCTAAATATGTAAGAAAGACTTCGTTCCAAAGGTTCAACATGGTATATATAACATAAATGTAAAGCTTTCTCAAAAGCAAGACAAGACACGGAATCAATCCCCACGGTGCAGGAAAAAAATTGTAAAAGCATTTTTAACATTCGTGTAAACAAGCCTCGTATTTTATGTTTAGAATACATTGCGGTACGACACGTAGCACAGCACGTACCCACGTCACACGAATTATATATGTGAATTCTAACTTTATATATCTACGTGAATACTTTATGTTCACTAATCTAATTGTGTTTTGATCTTTTAAGAGAGATTCTTTTCAACGGAAACATTAGGATTTTATTCGATACATAAGTTATGCGCGTGGTGATTCGATATTTCATGCAATGTATTGTCAGATGAAAGCACATAAATGCACACACGCGAACACGTACAATATATATATACACGTAAATCTGAATCAAGTTCCTTGCGTGTTACGTTTAAACATCATATATATATGTTCCTCATTTTGTTTATATACGTCACATATGTTCCTATTTTTATATTGCTCTTTGTGATTCGTTATGTTCCCTTTTTTTTAGCATTCTGATAATTTTTATAACATTTTTAAAGACAAAGTTTTTATTCAAATTATTGACTATATATATTATTCGACAATTGATGTTCTCTTCGAGCTTTGTGAATAACCTATTATTTTATTTATCGTTGTGACTCATCATTGTAGATAATATAATTCGTTCCAAGATGAATTAAAAAAAAATTTAAGTTTTAAAATGTAATACGCAGATCTTGTATTTTCGTATATTATAATATTTCTGATATATTATATATATATTCTATAAAGAGTTTGCTTTGACGAAATTCGAAGTTATACATGCGATGATACAAGTAAATAATAATGTAGTAGTAACTAAATTAGTAAATAGATATATAATCTGAATAATATTTCGAAATTATTTTACTGTGCATCCATCCATTTACATTTACGCTGTTTTTTGTTTCAATTGCGTAATCCTTCCATTACATTTATATCTATAAAATACAAAGTTTTTTTCTACGATATAAATGGAATTTTACAGTCTTATGCCTCTTGTATTATATGAACAATACTCTGAAACTTTCAAGATTACAAGTAAATCAATATCTATTGCATAAAATCGAAAATTCTTTATTCATATATTTGGTTAATAATAGTATCAACGATATTAATAATAGTAAAAAAAATTAATATGTCACATTAAAATAGCCGTTCGGATGATGATTAATTTGTGTAAATGTGAAAATAGTTATTTAAAAAGATGGTAGCCATACTTTTATTTTGCTATAAAACCATAAAAAACCATCAATTCTGAAAGATTTATAACTTAAGTATAAAATTATAAATCTTTTATTGATACGCGCACTAAATATAATCATAAGAATAAGAATGGGAAAACTACAATGTATTCTGGTGTTACATCATAAAATTAAACTGTGTTCCAACAAGTATTTTATACAATGGAACACAGTGTAATCCTAGCTGGAAATCGGTCATAAAGAGTTCTTTAATGAAACTCATTCATAGTCGATAACTGTTTACATCTAGTTACTATTTCATATATATTAGAGCTCTAACTCCGTCATTAATCGCATGCGTAACTTCGTATCTTTCTCATGCATCGAAATGTAAGAAAGGGGAACATCGTTTAGTTGTAATTACTATACACATCACACGCGCGAATTGCGATTTGTCGGTGTTTTCCCGCGTGACTAATATCTTCGCTTAAGCACGACGTAGGTACGAGCTCTGCTTCGATTTCGGAATGCAAGCTCTTTGCATATGACATAACACACAATACACACAAATACATAGATGCAAACACATAAGTAATTTGCGTGTCACAAATCGCTCTCGCAAATACTCTATGTCGATGTAGATCGCGAAACGCACTCGCGGATTGTCGCGCGCCGTTTCCACATTGTTGTCATTGATCGATTTATAACAGAATCGCGCCGTCGCGGCCAAAGAAGTTTTTAGCTTTCTGTTCCTTCTGTTGTACGAAGCTTAAGCCGAATTACGTTTTGTTCTGTTACTGTTTGTTTGACAATCTCCAAAGAACGGAGAACAAACGGCGTTTTGTGGCTGCGGGATCGAACGGATTAAAGTTTTGTCCGACGTTCATCGGATTTCATCGAAGGAACAGCAAGGGAGAGAAAGATAGTTACGACGGCATATATAGATATATATATATATATATATA